TATCCGGCAGGTGACCCTCACCTGCCTGACGCAGACTGAGCCAGCTCCTGCGTGTTCATTCCACCTTCATCTCTACAGCCGAGTCCCACTGAGCCTCCGGGACTCGTTCACAACAGAGACCTGTTTATCAAAGAACGATGACGCCAGTGAAGGAGGCGGACAGATGTTTTTTACAGTTGAAAACAACAACGATAAGAGAAAGAGAAAGAAACGTCGTGAAAACATGTCGATTATAAGACGTGTAGAAACTAAAGGAACATGTTGCGCTGGTTCTTCCACGAACTTATCACGTGTTTGAAGACACCAGAGGGGTCAAAGGTCGCGAGCTTCAGATCTTTTTACAAGATGTTCCAGGAAACGGGAGCGGAGTAGGAGAAGGAGTAGGAGTAAGAGAAGGAGAAGGACTAGGAGAAGAAGGAGTAGGAGAAGGAGGAGGAGTAGGAGGAGGAGAAGGAGAAGGAGTAGGAGAAGTAGGAGTAAGAGAAGGAGTAGAAGGAGTAGGAGAAAGAGTAGAAGGAGTAAGAGAAGGAGTAGGAGAAGAAGGAGAAGGCGTAGGAGAAGAAGAAGGAGAAGGAGTGGGAAAAGGAGTAGGAGAAGAAGGAGAAGGAGTAGTAGAAGGAGAAGGAGTAGTAGAAGGAGTAGGAGAAGGAGAAGGAGGTGTCCTGAACAGTAAAGTTTCTCTCGTCCTCAGATGGCGAACGTGGCCTACGTTCAGGGGCAGCTTGACAGTGTGAGTATCAACCATCTCGACCAATCACAGCTTAGCAATAACAAATAAATAATTTGATCCGAATGTTTTTTGTTCAGTTTTGAAGATGTTTGTCAAACTGATCTTCAGATGGGGACCTTCTGATTTCTGTGCAGAAACATTTTCTCTTCTTCTGTGGTTTCTTTGGCTCAGCTTGTTTGACTGCCCTCTGCTGGCCAATCATTTCTTCTTTGCTCGTCTTAGGCAGAGAAACTCTTTAAAGCATCGATGAGCTTCATGCTGGCAGGTGGAACTCCACAGGTGAGTCTTTTACCTGCAGGGAAGGTAGCAGGTAACCTGTAGCTCAGCAGTCTTTGGGTTCCTTAAATCAATGAACTGTGATCCAGAGGTTAAACAGGCGGTTCTCCTCAGACTCACCTTCTTCAAGGTTCTAGGTTCTTTATTGTCATTTCATCATGTGGTACATGAGGTGGAACGAAATTATGTACTCAAGGTCCCAGTTACACCCAACAACATACACAATAGCAAAAATATAAAGTATAAAAGAGACCGTATACAAAGATCTAAGATGTACAGTAAGATATACTCTAAATGAATGTTCAACGATACACTAGAAGATCTAAGATATACGTTAAACACTAATAATGTAAAATAATACGCTATTGTTCTCAGTCTTGCTCACAGTTTGTACCAGAAGTTAGTTCCTGAGTAAATTCTAAAACTAAAGTATTCACATTTTTATGACGTCTGAGCATGGAAATCTTCAGGGTTGTTTCCATTATTTGAAGTTGTGTTGCAGTTTTTTGTTTTCTTCTCCCTTGTCATTGTGACACTCAGAATTATTGTGTGAGTGTCAAAGTGAGGCCCAACAGATTCACTTTCACAAGCAGAGCATCATGGCTGGCCTTAATGCTCCACTTGATATATAAATTAAACTTTATTAGAATTTGCTTTGGGTTTGTTTCAGATGTAATGGACACGGGGACGGAAAGCAAAGAAGAAACAAAGCAGAAAAGTGAGAGAAGAGTTAAAATGTAAAGAAGGAGAGAGGAATAGAGGAGAGAGAGAGAGAGAGATAAAGAGAACACAGATCAACATCATTGAAGTCTGACTCTAGACCTGCGGAAAGAAAAGACGAGACAAAACTGAGAAACCACAACAACGAACAACTTATATAATTCAAGTCACATTTATTTATATAGCACATTTAAAACAGTAACTGTTATCAAAGTGCTTACCAAAAAAGATCAAATTCAAAAATACTTCATTAATCCCAGAGGGAAATTTGTTGTTGTAACTCGTTATCCTCATTTCATTCAGAGATGTTATAGATACTGATGCTGTAGACAGGAAGGATCTCTTGTAAAGGTCCATCCCACAGTGGATCCTAAGAAACTGGCTGCAGATGTTGTCTGATCCGTCCACCCAGACTCAGCTGGCCTCTCGGTTCCCCCGGGCTGTAGGACCGCCCCAATGCTGGACAGAACTCCTCCCAGAGTGATGGCCACTCCTCCCAGCAGTCTGCCGAGCTCCTCATAGCTGCGGACAGCCAACTGTAGGTGCTGAGGGACGATCCTGTCCTTCCGCTGTCATGAGCCGTGTTTCCTGCTAGTTCCAGGATCTCAGTGGTCAGGCACTCGAGCACAGCTGGCAGGTAGATGAGAATGCGTCCACAGAACATCCTTTTCAACTCTTTTGAGATTTGGGGCTGTAGTTGAGATATTATTTGAGCTTTTGAGATGTTAATCAGCTGTTGGTTGTAGAAAACTGCCTTGTTGCCATGGTTACGCATCATAACAAATGTCCAAAACTAAAAAAGTTTCAGTAAAAATCCTTCCAGCTGCACAGCATCTGATACCAGAGGAAACAATCATCCAGAAAATGTGATTTACATCCAGAAACAGAGGAATTAAAGTTTCCAAAAGCAAAATGTCAGAATGAAAGTAGCAGAGCTGCTCCAACATGCAGACACATGGAGCGGTGCAGTTCTAGAACCAGCAGGATCAGAATCACAGCATCAAATATTAATAACAACATATTACAGCAATAAAAGCATAAAAACATGAAATATGAGAAACGATGAAATACTAAATCAAATCACCCTGCGTTAAATGTCAGGGAGTAAAAGCAAAATGGATGAACACAATCATCAACAACGAAATACCAAATGAGATCACCCTGTGTTAAATGTCAAATACAGATGTTTTGAGGAGAGATTTAAAAATAGAGGCTGAGGTGGCCTGTCGAATGTTGATGGGCAGATTGTTCCAGAGTTTAGGGCCCATGACTGAAAACGCTCGATCTCCTCTGAGCTTCAGCTGGTTTTTGGTACGGCCAAAAGCAGCTGGTCTGATGATCTCAAAGTCCGAGAAGGAGCATAAGGATGAAGAAGGTTAGAGAGGTATGAGGGTGCAAGGCCATTAACACACTTAAATGTCAGCAGAAGAATCTTAAAATCAACTCTGACACGTACAGGAAGCCAGTGAAGAGAGGACAGAACCAGAGTAATGTGCTCAAACCTGTGAGTTCCTGTTAGTAGCCGAGCTGCAGCATTTTGGACGAGCTGGAGACGTGAGAGAGACCTGACTGACCCCAGCATAAAGTGAGTCACAGTAGTCCAGCCGGGTTGTAATAAATGCATGGACTCATTTTTCAAGGTCGGATCTGGACAGGACGGACTTGAGCTTTGCTATTTGCCTTAGCTGAAAGAAGCTTTTTTGTAGAATAGAATTTATCTGTTTATTAAACTTAAAGTCCGAGTCTTAAAGGCTGCACAGAAGATGTTGGAGTCAGTCTCCCCACCATCACAGACATCTACACCTCCAGATGCAGGAAGAGGGCCACCTGCATCATGAAGGACCCCACTCACCCAGCACACACACTTTTTGCCCCACTCCCCTCAGGAAGGAGGTTAAGGAGCATTAAGTGTAGAACCACTAGACTGAGGAACAGCTTCTACCCTGAGGCTGTTAGACTCATGAATCTCTAAACAGAATAATCACTGTGAAAAACCATATCATGTTGCTGCTGATCTGTTTCATGTTGCTGCTGATCTGTTTCAATGTTGATGTGTTCATGCGTGCACATCTGCTCACAGACTCATGTTCATGTTTGTGCTGATGTTCAATGTTTTATGTTATGAGTGCTTAGTGTATATTTAGTTGATGTTTTTCTTAGTTCATATCTTAGATGTTATTACTGTTTTTCTTTTACATTTTATTGTTGGATGTAACTGGGACCCCGTGTACATAATTTTGCTCCACCACATGTACCACATGAGGTGCGAATGACAATAAAGAATCTCTGACTCTGACTGACTCTAAAACTACCCCGAGATTGGTAACCGACTGTTTTTGATGAGGCTGAAGGGAGTCCAGGTTTGCAGGATCAGTGACAGTGGCAGAGCTTGGGTTAAACACAATGACCTCAGTCTTCTGATCATTAAAACTCAAGACGTTTGCAGCCATCCAAGTCTTGGTGTCATCAAGACATTTTAACAAAGGGCGAATGGAGGAGGAACTGTTAGGTGTTAACGGTAGATAAATCTGAGTCATCAGCATAACAATGAAAGGAAAGATCATGTTTCCTCAGGATAAACCCTAAGGGGAGGAGATACAAAGAAAACAGAAGGGGTCCAAGAATGGAGCCTTGCGGGACCCCGCAGGAAAGAGGCACTGAAGTAGATGGAGTGTTAGCAAAATTAACACAGAAACTCCTGTCGCTCAGGTATGAATGGAACCATTCTAACGCTGCACCAGTAATCCCAACCCAGTGTTCTAGCCGGGATAAAAGGATACTGTGGTCCACAATATCGAATGCAGCGGTAAGGTCAAGGAGTACCAGGACTACAGACTGACCAGAGTCATTTGCCAGAAGAATGTTGTTGCAGACTCTAACTAAGGCTGTTTCAGTGCTGTGTAATTTCTTAAAGCCAGACTGATACTTATAATGATACTTATAACATCATTAGAAACTATTTTATACAGTACATGGTAATACAAGATATATTTAGTGGCCACCACAACCCAACTGAGTGTGTATCTGATAAACACCTGGATCTAAACACGTGTGAGCTAGGGGTTGAACGACTACATAATTTTTAAACTCGACATTAACACAATAAAACTCAGAAAAGTTGATGACGTCATAGGATCTCAAGATGCAATAAATAAATAAAACCACAAAAAAAGTCATTTACAAAAAAAAGACCAGCAAAACATTGGGAGCGTATATTTTGCTCCTACCATTTATCAAACTGCAAATAAGTCACAGGAAAAACTAAACTATTAGTTATTATTATTAAGCTGCAAAACTGAAAGAAACGTGCGTCACGTGCAAAACTAAACTAAAACCAGTGGGGGGTCGACCACCCCGCACCACTACCAGCTGTGGTGCGCATTAGGTTTAGTTTTACAGATTAATATATTTATAGGTTTTTTTGTAGGTTTAGAGATTAATGTTTTTTGCTTTTAATTTGTGAAACAAGGTCAGAGGAAGCTGGTTCTGGTTCGGTCATTGGACCCGGTGTTGCACCATATTCTGTGACCTACAACAGTGCATGCAACACCGCCCCCTACGGTCACAATATACGGTGGTCACAGAATATGGTATAACACCGGTTCGCAACGAGCTCCAAACAGTCAGGAAGTTGATTCATTTTCTGTTTCCTTACGGTAGTTGAACCAGAAGATTCATCTTTAGTGAAATATTTCCACACTATTGATGCATTTCTACATATTTGCAAGGACTGGGCCTGCTCTGCTCCGTCCATCTGCTGGGAGGAATCCATTTTGTAACCCGCGCGGGACGATTACGTGATGCAATGATGTAACGGTGAAGTAATGATGTCACCACGAATACTCGACACGAAATTTAAAAACTCGATAGATGTCCTAAGAATCGATGTGTAGATTACTCAAGTAGTCTGTTAAACACCTGTGTGAGCATGCTTGTCACTATAAGGTTTCTCCATAAAAATGTTCAGTAGTGGATGTAGTGACCCACAGACCCGTCCCCACAGGACACAATGGTAAACAAGGAAGACCGGAACCACAGACACACAGCGGTCCCCAAGCCTGGAACTCCTGGAGTCCCTCAACAGGGACACCCGCACCCCTCAGAGAGAGAAGCAAAGGGAAGCCCCGAGCGATCCCCAGCAACCACAATGCAGAAACCCCCAGGAGGCTGCAGTGACGGGTCCACAGGCCCCGCCGGCAACCCGCCCCTCCAGAGTAGATCCGGCCATGGACACCGAGCCATGAGTCCCAAGGTCATACCACCCCCCAACAGAGGCCCGACAGAGCCAGGGCACCCAGGCCCCGGCTGGCAGCCACCAGGGCGGGCCTGCACACACCCCACCACCCAGCCCCAGCTGCTTAGAGCCACCAATGCACCACCGGAGGGGAGCACAACACATTAAATGGGGGGTCAAAATTGATCCAAGAAATGTGTTGCAGTTTAGATCTGCAACGATTCCACAGCTGCCGACTACTTTCTCCTCTGTTACCGTGGTGGTTCAGCATGCTCATGTCTAACTTTAGGGTCGGGGTTAATTTGAACAGGACTTCCTGTCTGTTTCCAGGATGACAACGCCATCATCGAGATGTCCCTAAAGCTGACCGCTATCTACGCCGAGCAGAACAAGTAAGAGGCGGAGCTAACTGATCAGGTGACAGAAAGTTTAGAGGTCAGAGGTCACAAACTTCTGTTTGTTTGCTGTTTGAGGGAGGAACTTGCAGAGCACGGCTTCCGGTTCTGCACCGAGTCTCTGGAGACTAAACTGGAGATGTACAAAGAGCTGCCTGAGGTAGACCAGACAGGTGAGACAGAATACAGGAAGATGTTTTGAAACTGTTTTGTTGATATTGATGTTATTTGTTGTTGTTTTCTTTGTTGGCGTTATTGATGTTTGTTGCTATTGACACCAGAGGAGCAGAGTGCACTGAGAAAGGAGACACGCCTCCTGCTTGGTTTGTGTTTGGACTCACGAGCTCGATACCGAGCCTCAAAATTACATCTGATCCAGGCAGAACTGGACTATAGGACAGCCTTGGACATCTGCCACCAGGAGCAAGGAGAGACACACCCACAGGTAGACACCCACTCGCAGGTAGACACCCACCCACAGGTAGACACCCACCCGCAGGTAGACACACACCCACAAGTAGACACCCACCCACAGGTAGACACCCACCCACAAGTAGACACCCACCCACAGGTAGACACCCACCCACAAGTAGACACACACCCACAGGTAGAGACACACCCACAAGTAGACACCCACCCACAGGTAGACACACACCCGCAGGTAGACACACACCCACAAGTAGACACACACCCGCAGGTAGACACACACCCACAAGTAGACACACACCCGCAGGTAGACACACACCCACAAGTAGACACACACCCACAGGTAGAGACACCTAAACAGTGATAATCTTCCTGTTTCCTGTCAGACTCTTGTCCTGATGAGCGATCTGGCCACCATCTTGGACCTGCAGGGACGTCATGATGAAGCCCTGGTCCTGGTCCAGCAGGCAGTTGAGTTGAGCCAGTCTGTGGGACACCCAGACCATCACGTGTTGCTGGGAAACTTAGCTGGCATCCTGCTTCACACAGGTGAGTACAGGTAGAACTCCCACACCTTTTCTCGGCTGATCTGACCTGATGCTCTTCTGTTTCCTCAGGTCGACTGGAGGATTCAGTCCAGTTCTACCAAGAGGCCCTGGAACTGGCCCAGCAGGCTGGAGACCAGGAAGCTGTAGACAGGGTTCAGGAGGGACTGAAGGAGGTGAAGAAGAGGAGGAAGGAGGAGGAGCCAGAGGGTGCAGCACAGTGACTGTGGGCGGAGTCTCTAAGATCCATGATCCAAATCAATTGGTTTTCTGGGATCCACTGTCTGTCCCCAGATGTTCCCCCTTTGTCTACTACCTGAAAGCTGAACCTGTTCAAGTGTCCATGCAGTCAGGACACACCCATCGGTCTTAGTGTAGTTACCTGTTGTTCCCACAGGTGGGACTCACGTGAATTTCCTGTTTACTCAAACTGTCACAATAAAAGTGTGATGTTGATGGTGAACTGTATACACAACACATCAAGGACTTCATCTAATCTGATGTTTGTGTACAGGAGGAGGCGAGGCTAATGAGAACACTTTAGAACCAACTTGAAGGTGTGCTGCATGTGGCCCAACACTGGTGGAAAGGATGAAAACAGCTGTTTGTTAATAAAACAAGTCGCATATCCTGATTCATGCTCAATAATCCAGATAGAAAAATCTAAAAAAGTTAAAAATCTGGTCCTCTGAACATTCAAAAAAAGAAAAAAAAAATTGTAGAAACGTTTCATCTTTCATCCGAAAGACTTCCTCAGTCTGAGGTGCTGTTTTCAGCTCAGTCTCTTAAATAGCACCTTCTCAGAGTGGATCAACCAGTTTGCTGCTGACAACCAAAACCAGCAGACTAAGCTGAATACATCCTGGTGCATGCTCAATAATCCAGGTAGAAAAATCTAAAAAAGTTAAATCTGGTCCTCTGGACATTCAAAAAAAAACCCACAAAACAAAGCAAAACAACAAAAAAATGTAGAAACGTTTCGTCTCTCATCCGAGAGACTATTTAAGAGACTGAGCTGAATACAGCTCCTCAGACTGAGGAAGTCTCTCGGATGAGAGACGAAACGTTTCTACATTTTTTTGTTGTTTTGCTTTGTTTTGTTTTTTTGAATGTCCAGAGGACCAGATTTAACTTTTTTAGATAAGCTGAATACAGCACCTCAGACTGAAGAAGTCCTTCGGATGAAAAACGTTTCAACAATTTTTTTTATTTTTTAATGTCCAGAGGACCAGATTTAACTTTTTTAAAAGAAGTCTCGCTTTTGTGTTGCCTTAGGTACATCTTTGATAAGAGGGTGGGGCCAGCGAGCAGCTGCCCTCTGATTGGTGGACACACAGGCTCATTAAGGAATCTTTGCGTCTGATCAGTTCCATCAGTTTGACCATAAAGTTGGGAAGTGGTGGCGCAGAGGTTAGAGAAGGTGTGCCTGTGATCGGAAGATCGCTGGTTCAAGCCCCAGTACCGACAACATCAAAAATGTGGGTGGGGTAGGTGAAGCACCCACACCTGCCCCCACCCTCATTCGCTCCACTCTGGGCCCCTGAGCAAGGCCCTTAACCCCCACCATCTGCTCCCTAAACAGGTCTCTCTTGAAAATAAGTTCTCGTGGCTCAATGAGACTACCTGGATAAATAACGGGTAAATAAAAATTATAATAATAATAAAGTTGGAATAAAATCAATAAGCTGGCAGAATGGGGTGGTGGTTCCCCTCTTCAAAAAGGGGGACGGGAGGTTGTGCTCCAATTACAGGGGCATCACTCCTCAGCCTCCCTGGTAAGTTCTATTCAGGGGTACTGGAGAAGCGAGTCTGATCGTTGGTTCAACCTCAGATCGAGGAGGAACAATGTGGGTTCTGTCCTGGCCGTGGAACACTGGATCAGCTCTTTACCCTCACTAGGGTCCTCGAGGGGTCATGGGAGTTTGCCCATCCAGTCTACATATGTTTTGTGGATTTGGAGAAGGCATTCAACCGTGTTCCTCGAAACCAGTCACTAGGGAGTGCAAGCCAGTGTATCTCTTGTGCCGGTTCCAAGCCCGGGTAAATGGTAAGGGTTGTGTCAGGAATGGCATCCGATGTAAAATACTTTTGCCAAAACCATAAGTGAAACCATACCGGATCGGTCGAGGCCTGGGTTAACAACAACCGCCACCGGTGCTGCTGACAAACAGGATGCCGGCGGAAATTGTGCTGCTGTTAGTTAAGACAACGAGGAGGGAAACGTGTCAAGAGACAGAGGGAGAAGAGAACGTGAAGAATGTAGGACTGAGGGTGGCAACTAAATGTGGGGACAATGACAGGCAAAGGTAGAGAGCTGGCTGACATGATGCTGAGAAGGAAGGTAGATGTTTTATGTGTCCAGTGGAAGGGCAGCAAGGCTCGCAGCATTGGAGCAGGGTTCAAACTGTTTTACCATGGTGTGGATAGAAAGATAAATGGAGTAGGGGGGATCCTGAAGGAGGAGTTGGCAAAGAATGTAGTAGAGGTGAAAAGAGTGTCAGATAGGGTGATGTGCCTGAAGGTAGAAGTAGAAGGTCTGATGCTAAACGTCGTAGGTGGTTATGCTCCACAGGTTGGATATGATGAGGAGGAGAAAGATAAATTTAGGAAAGATCTGGATGAAGTGATGGAGAGTATTCCCAGGGAGGAAAGAGTGGTGATGGAGCAGACCTGAATGGACATGTTGGTGAAGGAAACAGAGGATGAAGAAGTGATGGGTAGGCTTGGTGTCAAGGAAAGAAACAGGAAGGACAGATGGTGGTGGATTTTACCAAGAGAATGGAAATGGCTGTAGTCAACGCCTATTTCCAAAAGAGGGAGGAGCATAGAGTGACCTATAAGAGTGGAGGAAGGAGTACGCAGGTCGACTACATTCTGTGTAGAAGAGGAAACCTGAGGGAGATTGGAGACTGTAAGGTTGTGGCAGGGGAGAGCGTGGCCAGACAGCATCAGATGGTTGTGTGTAGAATGACTGTTGTTGTGAAGAAGAGAAAAAGAGTCAAATCAGAGAAGAAGACCAAATGGTGGAAGATGAAGAAGGAAGAATGATGTGAGAAATTCAGAGAGGAGCTGTTAAAGGCTCTGGGTGGTAAGAAAGAGCTTCCAGATGACTGGACTACTACAGCAACTGTAATTAGAGAAACAGGTAGGAAGGTACTTGGTGTGTCATCTGGACAGAGAATGGATGATCAGGAAACCTGGTGGTGGAATAGTGAAGTGCAGGAAGCTGTTCAAAGGAAGAGGTTAGCCAAGAAGAAATATGACAGAGAGAGGACTGAAGAGAGGAGACAGGAATATAAGGAGATGGGACGTAGAGCAAAGAGGGAGGTAGCTAAGACAAAGCAGAAGATGTACGATGAGTTGTATGGAGACTGGACACTAAAGAGGGTGAGAAGGTCTTGTACTGATTGGAGAGACAGAGGGATCAGGCTGGAAAGGATGTGCAGCAAGTTAGGCTTATTAAAGATAGGAATGGTAATGTTCTAACAAGTGAGGAGAGTGTGATGGAAAGATGGAAGGAGTACTTTGAGGAGCTAATGAATGAAGAGAATGAAAGAGAAAGAAGAGTAGAGGTCATAGAAACTGTGGACCAGGAAGTGGGAAAGATTAGTGAGGGTGAAGCCCGGAAAGCTCTGAAAAGAATGAAGAAGGGGAAGGCAGTAGGACCTGATGACCAGTGGAGGTTTGGAAATGTCTTGGAGGGATGGCAGTGAGGTTTTTGACTCAAATATTCAATGGCATATTTGAGGGTGAGAAAATGCCTCAGGAATGGAGAAGAAGTGCTGGTGGCCATTTTTAAGAACAAGGGTGATGTACAGAGTTGTAGCAACTACAGGGGAATTAAGTTGATGAGCCACACGATGAAGATCTGGGAGAGAGTTGTGGAAGCAAGACTTAGATGAGAGGTGACTATCTGTGAGCAGCAGTATGGTTTCATGCCAAGAAAGAGCACCACAGATGACATCTTTGCTTTGAGGATGCTGATGGAGAAGAACAGAGAGGGTCAGAAAGAACTCCAATGTGTCTTTGAGGATTTAGAAAAAGCATCTGACAGAGTTCTGAGGGAGGAGGTGTGGTGTTACATGAAGAAATCTGGAGTGGCAGAAAAGTATGTTAGACTGGTACAGGACATGTATGAGGACAGCAGGACAATTCTAGAATTGCGCCGCTCAAGGTGGCTGCATGTTGGAGCAGCTCTGTTACTTTCATTCAGAGATTTTGCTTTTGGAAACTTTAATTCCTGGTTTTCTGGATGTAAATCATATTTTTTGGATTATTGTTTCCTCTGGTATCAGATGCTGTGCAGCTGGAAGGATTTTTACTGAGACTTTTTTGGTTTTGGACATTTGTTATGATGCGTAACCATGGCAACAAGGCAGTTTTCTACAACAACAGCAGCTGATTAACATCTCAAAAGCTCAAATAATATCTCAACTATGGTCCCAACTCTCAAATGAGTTGAAAAGGATGTTATGTGGATGCATTCTCATCTACCTGCCAGCTATGCTAGAGTGCCTGACCACTGAGATCCTGGAACTAGCAGGAAACACGGCTCATGACAGCGGAAGGACAGGATCGTCCCTCAGCACCTACAGTTGGCTGTCTGCAGCTATGAGGAGCTCGGCAGACTGCTGGGAGGTGTGGCCATGGCTCTGGGAGGAGTTCTGCCCAGTATTCAGGTGGTCCTACAGTCCAAGGGAACCGAGAGGTCAGCCGAGTCTGGGCGGACGGATCGGACGGCATCTGCAGACAGTTTCTTAGGATCCACTGAGGGATAGACCTTTACAAGAGCCATCAGCATCTATAACATCTCTTAATGAAATGAGGATAACGAGTTACAACAACAAAATAATTTCCCTTTGGGATTAATAAAGTATTATTGACTTGACTTGACTTGTATGAGGACAGCAGAACATGTATGAGGACAGCAGGACATGTATGAGGACAGCAGTGAGATGTGCTGTAGGAGTGACAGATAGCTTCAAGGTGGAAGTGGGAGTGCATCAAGGATCAGCTCTAAGCCCCTTCTTGTTTGCTCTGGTGATGGACTGACTAACAGATGAGGTCAGGCAGGAATCCCCATGGACTATGATGTTTGTAGATGACATTGTGATCTGTGGTGAGAACAGGGAACAGGTGGAAGAGAACTTGGAGAGGTGGAGGTATGCACTTGAAATAAGAGGAATGAAAGTCAGCCGTAGTAAGACAGAGTCCATGTGTGTGAATGAGAGGGAGGAGGTGGAAGAGTGAGGCTACAAGGAGCAGAGGTCACGAAGGTACAGGACTTCAAAGACTTGGGGTCCACTGTCCAGGAAAATGGGGAGTGTGGTAAAGAGGAGAAGAAGAGAGTCCAGGCAGGATGGAGTGGATGGAGAAAAGTTTCTGGAGTGATTTGTGACAAAAGGGTGTCAGCAAAGGTCAAAGGAAAAGTTTACAAGACAGTGGTGAGACCAGCTATGTTGTATGGTCTGGAGACAGAGACATGGACAAAAAGACAGGAGACAGAACTGGAAGTGGCAGAAATGAAGATGTTGAGGTTCTCCTTAGGAGAGACAAGGATGGAGAAGATTAGGAATGAGATCATCAGAGGTACAGC